TGCGAGTAGGGTAATCTAAAAGCCTCGAGCAGAGTCTATTCTCAGCCTGTAAATTCAATGTTAATGAGTGAAAGTCATCTTTTCTAATAGCTGTGGAACTTTGAGGTTGCACCGTGAGACTTAATGTGGATTCCATGCTAATTTACGGCGTGAGTGGAAAATTAATTCTAATCATTTAAATGATCCACCTAATTGGTACAGATTTTGGCAATTAAACCACTTTGCACGCATTTCCATCTTGCAGACCCTCCCATGGGGTGTACAGCACACTAAGCCAACTGACAGACAACTTTTCAATAGCGATTGTGAGAGCGCTTCGACTGAAGCGAGGATGGTTATGCTGCTGATCCCGTGAATGGAAATATATTTCCATTTATGCCATGGCACACAAGCTTTGACGAATGACGAAATATGGGGTCTGGCTGATTGTACAAATGGCAATGATTGCTGATGTGGAGAACGAGCGGGAGGACTTCACAAAAGTCAATACCCAGCTTTTCAACGGATGGGGGGTGTAAATTCTTAATCATTCTCCATTCTACCTCAAGTGCTCACACTGTCTCCGACATCTGGGAAGCGCGCCCAGGTTCAACTTCACCCTGGAATCAACGGTTGGGCTAGAAGTGGGGAGCATATGTAATAAATTAGAGCTCACACTGGCAAACATTGATACTTTTCGGGAGGTATGCTGCTGGTATTCCACAGTTTCGATGCGAGAGGGCCAAGTGCACCCCACCGTGACGTAATCCAAACGTTATTAGATCTCTCGAAAGCATCGTAAAGGTAGAACAACATAATACAAGTTCTGAAGGAGTCAAAATGTTAAGGGAGTGTGAGTTTCACTGGGTGGGAAGCTCACTTCACTGATCATCATTGTACTCTCACCCGCTCTATTTCTCCTAACTGCGTACACAGGGTGGACTAACAGAGCCTCCATCACAAATCTATATTTCATTCGCACTTTTTAATATTAATGCGATCATTCGGCTGCTTTAAATAAATTCAGCGAATATGCAATTATGGTTCTGCCTTGTTCTTTAGCATAGTCAGTGATTAAAGATCGCACACAGCTCTGCAACCATGCTGTAGGTTTAAGCACATCCTATTGTTTATATGGAGCTCCCATAGCGCGAAAATGAAAGCTCTCTTGAGTCTCTATAGAGATTCCTCAACTTGTTGTGGGTACAGAATGGAAAATGAAAATACCTCACAAGTTAACCATTTAAGGAGGCGCTCTCCTCAAGGAGGCAAAATGAAAATTCCCTCCCCCGGCACGATAATAGGGATGAATGGGGTAACTCAGCACGAGAAGACAACCATTTTGAAAGCTCAATGAGTCCTTCTCGTGGCATTTTACCTCCACTCATGGTTGCGTGTCGCTGGAATCTGCAACACATTTGTTAATACATTTTACTCATGTAATCCCATCCCGGCCACCCCTGCCCCCTCCCCTGCCCTTGGAAAACTACACCCACTCCGTTCATCACACAGAGCAAATTGTAGGAAGGAAGAAGTAATCTGTAACTATTCTGCAAAGACACAACCACCCTCAGCTAGGGCGTTCACCGAATCCCCAAAAGCTTCTGCTCACGGAATTTGTATCCAATTCACGTCTGTATCGCGACATTAATTTAAGTGGGGTTCTCCTGCGGTTGGGACTGATTCAATGAATTGTGATTAAAGATACTTAATTATTCGCTCATTCACAATTATCAGAAATGACATCGCAGGAGAAATGTTCACGCACATCCCTAAAAGGCTTGTCACGACGGTGGGTGGGCTTCGCTGATGATAGATACAGGCCTGGGCGTCACCAGAAACCATGACCCAGGGCGGGGTGTGAGAAGAGCCACCAGCGGGGGTTATATTGCCCTCCTCAGTGTAGGTCTTTTACGACTTAAAGAGGAAATATTTTATTGATTGCTCTCTATTGTGAGAAATGCCCTGTTATTCTTCACGAAATGCCTTCCTATAATACCTAGTAAATTTCCTCTCTCTCTCAGCCCTTGGGCGAATGGAAAAATTGAGGCACTTTCCACGAAGCTTTGTGACCCCAAATAGATGATATTAATATTATCCTGAATTTCACTTTCATTGTTAATTTGGAGGCGGTGGCTGAACTATCATATGATGAAAAAAAATACAAAAAAAGAGCAAACGTCAAATCTGAAAAATCATGTAATATTAATCACGGTAAGAGAGCATTAAATGAGAATTTCCTGGGAAAATGCCTAAAGACTGTAATGATAAGGAATATTTGTTCTAACTGACACTTTAATGTATTCACAATATTCTTCGAAAATGTACTTTTTCTATTAAAACTTGCTTTTGGAAGTGTTAAATTAAATTAGTATTCTGACCAGGCGTTAGGAATGTGACAATTCAAGAAACTTTCGATTTTCTGGTATAATTTCACAGCCTTTGAGCTTTAAAGTGTTTAAATTCCCTATTCTTTCCTACAAAGTAAACGAGGGCAACTTTTGTCAACCTATTTTATGCTGTGCAACCCTCAGTTGTATATAGAGAACCCCAATATCAAATAGTTGAACGAGAGAGTGTCGCTTGGGCTTGTGGGGAGGATGTAGGGAGAGTGGGTGCTTAAGTTGGACTATCTGATGTGTTGCAAAACGATGGAGAGGCCAGGGAAATTGCATAGTGAGTTATTATGAATTCCAATGTGGGGACTTGCACTCTATTTTTATTTCAATCTTGCAGGAAAAGTTCCATGTTCACCTCTTCTCTTCGGAACAACAGAGCAAGGCAGACAAGTGATGAAAACACTGTGTTACTCTCGTCACATGACGCTATCCGCAGCTATTTAGCACGTTACTAAATGCAGGAAGATGTCAGCATGAGATGAGACAACATGGAGAATTATTACAATTGCCATCACCTTTCATGAGAGGCTGCTGACTATGCTACGATGCGGACATAGTTTCAATGATTCATGCAGTGACATAACTAACAATATATTATGATTGTGAGTTTAAATTGGCTTTCGACATGTTTGATGGGTGAAAACTAATTGAGAAGCTTCAAGTATTCGTTTCATTAGTTTCTATTACTTGTATCAAATAATTTTTCATCATGCCGCAAACCATATATTTTTCAAGCGTGCCTCAACTGTGTTCTATGACTACAAATTAGTTTGGTTGAACTCTTATAAATGAGTAAAAGTTTCTTTTGACTTTGATTTTATGCAATTTTTCATGTTTATCACAAACTTTTCTGATTATACTGTATCACATTAATATATTTTCTTTTCATTATTTTGTTTAACATTAAATTAAGCGCGTATAAGATTATATTTAGGCAATTTTGTAGAGGAAGTTCTGTGAAAAATTGAATTTTTTGGGAGAATTTAAGAAGACATTTGCAATATGAAACATCCTGAAAGCTTGTGTACTTCAAAGGAATTCAGTTGATGATTCTTTCAAAGAGTGGAATCCAAGTTTGGGATTTGTAGTGAAATAGTGTCCTTGCAAGTGAGTCATGTAGTAAATGGAAACTCAAGACAATTGTGCAGAAAATTCTGTATCATACAGAGATACATTTTAGCCGTTCATCTTTTTGTGAAAATACACTCCAGGTATTTTGTAAAAGCAGTTCTTTGTGACTAGCTCTTGTTGCCATACTTCTCACTAATTTAAGCCTCACTGATGCTCCACTTCACGTGAGGAATTTTTGCAAAGAGAGTATTTTCCCATGAAGCATGTGAAGTAACACAAACATCTGTTCCATCAACATAATATATTGTCTGTGGTCGTTGGGAAAAGTTATACTTGTTTTTGGGCAAAGGAACGCATGAGTGGGGAAATTATATGTATTGTAAATAGAATAACAGAAATGCCTCCTCACATAATTCACCAACTTATCCCTCTTCCACTCATTGGAAGTGGACCTCAAATCATATTTCCTTCTGGCTCTCACGGGATGGTATGGAGCCGAGAAAAGACAAATGGAACTCACAAATGGCGTAATCTGATTATTTTCCATCCAATGACTGTGATGGAAGTGAATTTTCCCACATATGCAAACACAAGAAGCTCCCGGATTTAATTCCACGTGACATCTCGTGGTCTGACGATAAATCTCTCGCCACACCATTGGATCCCTCAGTAAAGTTGTTCGGGTCGCAGTTTTTTCAATATTAAGTCAGTTCCCAGACGAATTTGAATTTTGCATGAAGACTTCGCGTGGGGAAAAAATCATTAGCACGTTTCTTTTTCCAGAAAAAGTGAGGACATGACAAATGGGAAAAAAGTTTAAAAGCCCTCGTGAGATATTTGTTTAACCCAGCTGTGTTACACCTCTCAAGAAGATCATGAATCTCTTCGCTCTGGGAAAATACACCGGGGGACACTTTTCCGAGAGAGATTACCATTTACACTATTCTTACTGATACGCGTTGGGGATCTTTTCATATGAGGGCGTCATTCACTAAATAAATATTCTTTGCACTTGATTGTCATCAATACTCCTTTTAATTTACACAATGTCTGCTTGTGACAAGACGAGAATACTCAGGAAAAAATTTATTCCTGCCAGTTATTGATGGAAACAGAATGCTGATATATTTTCTGAAATTTTCTCTTGGCTAATCTCTTTGATAACGTGAAGCATTTTTCCAATCATCTTTCAATTTTCTTGTCATTTATCCAGCCGAGAAGACAATGACAACCCCCTGAGGAGTGCAAAGATGTGTTTGTGAATATTGAAATGCATGAGTATCCTATCACATGAGATGACAACACAGGGAAAAAAATATCCAAGAATATATTGATTTTTAAGCTACACTCGCTCATATAATCCCTCACTTTAGTTCACAAGGGAACGTGGATTGTGATATTTTCTTCACTCTTCCCAATGTAACACACAGTGTTCTTTCAGCTCTCTTGGCGCTGCCAAGACAGATAACCGGCAGGGAACTTTGATATTTCCACGGAAGAAGGCTTTTCGAAAGTCACCGGGAGGGTGGGATTTATTGAGATGGTACTCACCCAAGTTATCCACTTCGCAAGGCAGCATAAGTGTGTCACCAACGACAGCTCTGTAGGTGTGGCCACGTGATACGAATTTGGGTGCTGATGATTGCGTAGGTTTGTTGTTGTTCCCTGTTATGGAAAGAAATAAGACAATTATTGGATCTATCTGCCAAATATAATTAATCAGTGGTCCGATAAAAATAATTTTCTGACGGTAATCAGACAGTAATCAGATCTGATTATCTCCACATCACAATATTAGGGGAACCTATACTAAAGGTCGAGTAATATAGGGGAAGGCTCTGTTATAGCGATGATACAGATAAAATTTACTATTCAAATAATTTGGGAAATGACGTGATAGAAAAGCATTCATGTGCTTGGAGTGAGAATGGAGACAAATTTGGAAATATGTCGGATTATATTACATCATAAATAACTACGCGATGCTCTTCTCAGCGACTTGAGTGTCTTATGAATCATGAATATTCGAAAAGTTTTAAAATGTAAAATATCGTCCGAACGCCAATATTTCTCCTGACTACGTCATCCAATGCAAATTCAGAATCTTTACGGTTCTAAAATCCTTTTACAGACACTTGCAATTCCTTTTCTTGTGTTTTTCTACATTGTCGCATTAAAAAAAATTGAAAAACATTGCACGTTAACAGGAAGTACTTATAATTTAAGCACAGAAAGCTTCAAGTTTTGGTAACTCCAATTCCGAGATGATCTGCAGGGAAACTTTAATATTCTGAGTATGTCACGAGACAAAAATAGAATTAAAAAATAGCATCAATTTTATAAGTTTCCCGCAACTTTATAGTTTCCATTCTAGCAACTTGAACTCCTATTATTTACTGTCTTTGTTAGGTGAAAAAATGAACTCAGTGGAGAATAACTTTTCATCTACGCGAGGGAGGAGAATGATGTCTATCGAGTCGAGGATTGGAGAGAAGCTCGCACTCACAGAAAAAAAATGGGAATGAATTCAGTTTCACCACAAATTTTCCCATCTTTCACCTCTTCTCCCGCCCCCCCAGAGAACTCGAACAATTCGCTTTGTTGGTGGGAAGGAGAAAAAATTCCCAATTTCAGCTTTCTTCGGTGCCAGTGCGTATGGGTGGATGGTGAAAGTTTGTGCCGAAAACGCATTTATCTGGCGAGGAGTGGGGGTGGCAGAGGCAGAAAAAAAAATCGTAAAAACTAATATCCCATTCGCTTCCCCTATATACACTCTATCACCATAAACATGAACTCATCAAGATGAAAGAAATCTTGGATGTTGCTTCATTAAGCCCAGCAGACAGGATGAAGCTTTGAGCTTTCCTCGTTGGGCGACTGATTTTTTTTTTTACTCTCCAGATGCGAAGCCGGCAATACTTTGTTGGTATTTATTGCCGAGAAAAAGGAGAGTCGATCTGTATCTTAAAAATTGCCAAGCACTTTTGTGTCATCTCCATTTACAAGGGTCAAAAATATGAAGGAGGTGGTGAAATTAAATTTCCGCCAAGTGCGATATAGGGAAACATCCCTTTTACGCAGGAAGGGAAAAAGAAAGAATATCTGAAGGAATGCTGATTTCCATTTTTGCTCCGCACATTCACATTAGAGTAGCATAAAGGAGGCATTAAGTGGAAGAGGGAAAGAGAAAGACAACAGAAATGATGATGAAATTCAAATAAATGTGGTTCAATTAGGCATTCAACAAATGCAATAATTGTCTGAGAGACTCTTTTCTTCGATGTGTCGCTCTCTAGTTCTCACCGTCGAATTTACATTGAGAAGGGGACATGGGCATTTAGACCTCTTTCATCGTCCCATTCATGGCGCAGACACAATGAAGTACCCATTCATTGAAGGCTTTTTTCTCATCTGCCACTCGACAATTATTCAAGTGCCATCTTCATATTCATAACGCCCCATTTCATGCTCCCAATAAAATTTACATGCTTCCGAACTTGATGTATTCGCAAAATTTCTCTGCCATTCTTTTTCTAAATACTGGAAAGTGCAAAAAGAATTTTCAATCATTCTGAGCTTTCATTTTTTTTCTTCATTATGCGCAATAGAAAGGATAAAAGGTTGATTATATTCATGTATTGGCGTTTGGCATGAGAGAATCGTGCCACAATGAACATTTCAGGGCTTCTGGTGTAAATATTGCCGATTAATTCAAATACGACATCAATTGAATGATATTTGGTGGAAAAAGCGCCATATTCACCCCAAAATCGCTCAACAATGAAGTCAATCAATAAATTTATTTCCCTCAATGAACATACTTATGGCAATGTATTGAATTAATAGCTGTTGGCGAGGGAGTAAAAAAAACATGAAGTGCCAATCGATAGAGGTTCGGAATTAATCATAAAATTCTACGATATTTGCGCGAAAATGCATCAATGCAATATAATCTCACATCAAAATCCTCGCGATATTAACATTTCATACTGTCCCGAATGGTGGAATAATTGCGAGAAATCCCCCAAGGTGCAAACAAAAAATAAAAGTGAGATTGTATCATCGGTATAATCGATTTTTTATTGCCTTAATTGGAATATTTTCCCATCTAAAGAGGATTAAATAATATTCAGATGCGGCGAAGCTGCTATATTTTTATACCATAGCACTTTTCACTTTTGGTATAAAATGAAAAGAATAATTTAAACTGCACTCGTAAAAATTTCATTTCCATTAATAAAATTTAATTCAACGTTTTTCGTCATACTATGTTATGTTATTAATAAATGATTGATTTTTTTCTGTGCGAAATTGGAGTGAATTGACCCCATTTCCACGTATTTGTGGAATTGAAAAAAAAACCACATAATCACTTCTCTGTGCCGTTTTTCATGTTTTCCACTATACTCTTCGATTAATCTGTTTGGTGATAATAATCTTCAAAGTCAGAAAGAAGGAACTTGAGTCAATTTCAATTATTCGCCTCTTGAGCAGAAATGACGAATGAAACTGAAACAGAGAGAAACGTGACAAATCAATAACTCTTTCAAGATGACTTTGACTTTATTCCACTCAATACCACTTCTCTCTCTGTGTCCTTTGCCTCGGGACTTTCTCGCTATCCTCATCGCAAATCACCAGTGAAATCGCAATGGAGGGAAATACGATGATTTGAGGGATTTTCCAAAGATAAAAGCTCAAGTTAGGTGTAGCATAAAATGTTTTATGCCACGCTCCTGGCTTTATTAACTCTAGAATGTTGACAGAATTGCTAGGAAGAGGGGAGACGATATCCTTCCAAGGTTCACCACTAAAGTTGTCTATTTCATTGCACACAAAGAATGCCTTCAAGTGCCTCATCTTCGCAATTCTCGACGCTCTTCTGAGCCAATATTTCATCATCAAGATGGAATAAAAATTATAAATGAGCTTTGTACGGTGCAGTGAAGCTTTTGCACTCAAAACACGAGCACGAAGGATGAAAATGCATGAGCCACAAATATTCCATCGCCCGTGTCGTGGTTTCCGTCTAGAATTTCTCATATGGAGCGCGCATTGCAAAATTGCAGTCATGAGACAAGTCACAGTGGAGGACTCCGGGGGTGGGAGGTGGACCTAAATCAAATGAATAGCTGCAATAATTTACATCGTTAGTGTCGGAAATAAATTCTACACCCTAAGCTGTCGATTGAGGTGCAGCAAGAATCCTCCATCTCTGTCGCAAGCTTTCGCCTTTCTTCGCCAATTGCCTTCTCGATGGAGGCAAAAAGGAGCAGACCATACAAATGAGCGCTATTAATTAGCCATTCTGGCGTCTTTTATCTCGGCTCTCGCACACGGTGCGCTCACCCCTCTCCCTTAACAGAATCCCAACAGTATGAATCACACCCTCATTTGCTCATGGAATTACTTGCAGCGTCTTCGTCTTTGGTGCAGTGAAAATGTAAAATGAAGACTGTAGCAATTCGTAAAATTACCCTATTCTTGTCCTAATGACGAGATATTCATAGTGTTTACTGAGACACTTTCTGTCCCTTACGAAGCGACATCAAGTATTGGAAACACAAGACAAATTAACATTTTTTTTGTATGTGAGAAATATGATTTTCCTCTGCTGTATTTTCAAATGAATTTCTTTATACGGATGAAGACTTAAGATATTTTATCAATAAAATTTAGTATCTGTGGGGAATAATCCTGCATACACATGAGTTTGCATTCAAATCAGACTTTTCGAGAATGCTCAATCGATTTTTACTGGATTCTCCTGGTTTACTTTCCCACTTCGCGTGCCTGAAGGGGTGGGGCGGGGAGAGAAACCAAAGGAAATGTGTATAATTTAAGGAAAACTACCTCAAACCAATGATAAGAGTGGAAAGAATCCCAGTAATACACTTTTCAATCATATCATCAAACTCTCGAGGCTTTACTCGAATCTCATACACCTCACGTTGTGTCTCCATCACTTTTCCCTTGCTTTCTCCATCGAAATTGAATTTCAATTCACCCTCAATCGAGAAAGTGGAACGAGTGCGAGGAAGGCGATGGTGGAGTGTGTTGAAAATCCAAGTGAGGAAAGTGTCTTGATTCGCCATATTTTATGTTACACTCCAGCCACTCTGGCAGTGAAACTTTTCACCGTTGAAAGTCAACTGCCGTAGGGGAGAGGCGGGTGGACACCGAGTCAAAGGACCGCAAACGTGATGGAATCGATTCGATTTAGCCGGTGTCCACAATTTCCTTCCGCTTGGCGTGAAAAGAATTTCCCGCAAGTGTGTGTGTGTGTGTGTGCCAATTTGATTCAGATGGACCAGCAGATTTTTCCAAGAAGACCAACTTCCAGGGAGACACCATTCATCACGGTGCCTCGGGGCTTTTGTCCTCGAAACACACACACACTTTCTCCTGGCACATATTTATGGTCAATTTGGGGCTTCGGCAATCGAAAGTGAGTATATTGAAAGGCGCTCTTTTTTTGCTTCCTCATCTCTCTGGCTCCTGGAATTCCGCTAGAGATCGAAGGCGGAAAATTGAGTAACTTTTCAGCTTCATCCTTTTCACCCCAACACGTGCTCATTGTTTAAAATAAATACGCCAGGGCAAGATGAAATCCCGGGGGTTAAACATGCTCCAGGGACACCGAGGGGCTCGCAAGAGGTTCACAT